TTCGATATCGGAGTTTATCGATTACACTGCACATGTTTCTCTACTAAAGTGATATTGGTAACGTTGGATGGCTCAGTTTGTTCGTAAGTACAACGCAGTCAACACGTGGTTCTTGCTTTTCGACGTTTTTATAGTTAAAACTTGTTTTCGACACAATCGTAAGGTAAGTTTGTTGTTTAGTGTATGTAATTATTCTACACGTTAATCTGAGATTCGTTTACTTTTGTAAATTGGCAAACTTACGTCAGAAATCACATGGGATTTATGTGTCCCACTGCGTTTGTTAGACAGACCTTTTATATTCCATTGGTATTTTTCAGCATGTCAAGAAAAAGAAAGCTTACTCAAAAGGAATTGCAAGAACTGGCTGATAATATAAGCGACATATCTTCATGCGATGACCTAGATGCAGAATCTAATATATCTTCAGAAGACGACAAAAAAGACCCATTCCATGACAGTGATCATTATTCTGGTGAGTCGTATATGGCATCAGATGATTGTCCTAACAATGAAGAAGAACACACTCGCTCATCAGATGGATTAAATACGTCTTCATTTGATTCTCTCGAAAATGAAGAAGACGAGAATACTTGTTTGCCAGATGGGGAAGATTTAATTGAAGTTAAGAAAGTAAGAAAGGTATTATCAATAAAAAGAAAAGAGAACTCCCTATGGTATGGACATTAGTCGCAGCTGATCATAAACCCAGATTTACTGTTCCTCCTAAAATACCTTGTGTAGTTGATGAATCAATTAATATGAATTCGTCACGTCTAGAAATTTTCTTGAAAGTATTCCCTCGAAGTTTATTTAATTTTATCGCAAGAAAGGAAAGTCTGAACCGCTTACTGATGCTGGTGAAGTATTGATTAATATTGGTTGTACTCTAATAATGTGCTACAACAGAGTGCCTAAACTGCGACATTATTGGTCTTCGCATCCATCTGTCGGAAATAAAACGATAAGTACTGCAATATCAAAAAACAGATGCTTATTCATTCTCTCTAACCTTCACTTCAATGGCCCAAAGAAACCCGAAGATTGTACTTCTAGACAGTACTAGACAATCAATCGACGAGAGTATGGTAAAATTCAAAGGTCTGCTGTCCCTAAAACAATACGTACCTCTAAAACCTGTGATAAGGGGTATAAAACTATGGTGCAGGTGTGATTCTAAGACAAGATACACATAAGATTTTAACGTTTACTCTGAAAAGGAAGTTGAACAAGCTGATGGAACTCTAGGTGAAAGAGTAGGAAAAACGCTATGTGAATCGATACGTATTGATAATGTTGTTGTGGCTTTTGACAGGTTTTTTACACGTCTAGTCTATTAAATTTGCTGTAGTTGGTACAGCCATTACAAATAGACGAAACATGCCTAAGGAGTTTTCCATGAAAAGCAAAAAGAACAAGGGAGACTCTGTATTTGTGGGACCAAAGTGGACGTTCCTTGTCTTGCTGCTGTTGCTTTTATCCAACGAAATTATGGGTGATGTGGACCTGGCTGACCAAATAAGTGGAGTGTATGAAATAGATAGACGATCCTGTAAATGGTGGAAAAAGTTTTCTACCGATTGCTTATAGTATGGGGTAAATAGTTGGGTAATATATAATGATTTACATTGAAAACATAAGAAAACACCCCTTTTAGAATCTTTGTTTGAGCTATCAGAAGATCTCATTTTCTAAAGGTAAAACCACTTCTTCTTCTTATAGTGCCATGCACCTATAGTACGTTGGCTAATTTTCTTAAGGCCAGACGTCTGTCTTTTGCGGCATGCAAAAGATCGCCAGTGTTATTTATGCCTGTTCAGTTTTTTATGTTTGCGAAATACTCCTCTCTTGCCTTCAAACTTTCCCTGGATGATTAGTTGAGGGATTGCGTATTTTTTTCCTCTCAGAATATGACCGAGATATCCAATTTTTCGTACCTTGATCAAATTGTGTAGTTCTCTCTCAGTATTTGCCTTTCTTAAGACTTCCTCGTTTCTCACCCTATCTGTCCATGGTATGCGGAACAATCTTCGCAACGTCCACATTTCGAAGGCCTCCACTTATTAACGGAAGGTACTCTTAACGTCTATGTTTCCATGCCGTATAACAATATGGACCATACATAGCATTTAACCATCCTGTAGCGAAGATTGAACGAAAGATTTCGGTTACATAGTAACGGTTTAAATTTGTAGTGGTAAAACCACTACACAAGTAAACCTTAGAGAAAGAAGTGTAGGTAGACCTTCAAAGAGATCACGAAATAAAAATGTAGGAGACCACATGCCGATTGAAACTGCTAAGAGACGGCGTTGTGTTGGTTGCTCAAGAATGGGTAAAGAAAGAAGAACCACAACCATCTGCACAGTCTGCGATGTAGTTTTGTGTAAACATTGTTTCACATTATATCACACATATTAAGTTACATGGAAGTATTTTTTATGCATATTTTGTAAATTTTTCTGAACTAAAGTGTCCATTTATTTGTGGCCGTAATTTCCCAATATACCTTACGGGACATAATAATCCCAACCAACATTCCCATTGGGACATATATATCCCACTATTTTGTTTTTTTTTATGTAAAAAATTTGGTTTGGTACACTTTAAAAACCTTCTATGGTTACCAGTACAAAGAAATAATTAAAGTCGAGATCGTAACACCAAAAAAAATTGGGCCCCAAAGGGTTAAAGAATTAAATTAATAGCCTCTAGATAGGAGTGTTAACGGACTCATTAAAAAATACTGCAATTCAGCTATGGATTACTGGATAGTGAACAATCCAGATAAGAAATTTTACATATATAATGTTTCTGGCATTGTAAAATTAAGTCTGCCCCTAGTTGCTTCGCCAACTAATATAATGGCTGTTTTCAGTAAAACAGGGATATGTCCTTTAAATGAGGATATCTTTACAGAGAGTGATTTCTTGCCCATATGTGACAGACAGGCCGACACCAGCAAATAAAGAAGAAAACGATATCGGAAACAACAGGAATATTATAACAATAAAAACTTGAAAAATTATATCCATTTATTTTTGGATTGTATCGCTAATATAAAAAATAAAAGAAAGTAACCAAAACATACGAGTTGAAGCATCTCCTATAAGAATTACGAAAAAGGAAGTAAGGGATATCTGTATTTCACTCAAAAACAAAAAAGCGCCCGGACCTGGCAATATTCCCTCAGAACTGATAAAATATGGAACTGAAAAACTATATGAGCATTTGACAATACTCTTTCAAAACTGCATAAACAAAGTAGAGATTCCAGCCGAATTTAAAACCTCAACCATTTCAACTTTACATAAAAAGGGAAACAAACAAAATTGCGACAATTACCGTGGAATAGCAGTTACTAGTACCATTAGTAAAATCTATGGGAAAATTATCAAAAATAGAATAGAAAGAGAATACACTGATATGGAGGCAGAAGAACAGGCAGGTTTTAGAGCTGATAGATCGACTATAGACCACCTTTTTTGTATCACCCAACTTATAGAAAAAAAGGTTGCTGTAGATCAAGAAGTCCACTTTTTGTTTGTTGATCTAAAAAAGTCCTACGATAGCATCCCTCAAAATAAGTTATGGAACACTGTCAGACAAACGAACATCAACTCAAATCTCATAACAGCAGTGGAAAAAACTATATGAGAACGCCAACGCCAAAGTTAAAATAGGAACGAATGTTTCCAAAGGTTTTGTAGTAGACAAAGGACTGAAGCAGGGATGCTGCTTAGCGCCGACACTTTTCAAAATTTATCTGGAACAAGCATTAAAACTGTGGAAGCGGAAATGCAGCGGCATGGGTATACTATTAAACAATAACAACCTGTACACTCTATGTTTTGCTGATGATCAAATTGTGATTGCTAACGAATATGACGACCTAGAATACATGACTCGAAAATTAATCGAAGAATACAAAAAATGGGGATTAGAAGTCAACATAGATAAAACAATGTACATGAACATTGGTGGTAAAGAACAAAATCTAATTTCAAACGACGGACAACACATTAAGTACAACAATAAATATTCCTATTTAGGAGTAGAAATCACAGACGACGGCAAATCAGATCAGGCTATAAAAAAACGAAACACTCAGGGTAGAAGGGCCATATCTCAACTAAATAGTATTATCTGGGATCAACATATATCAAAAAAAAAAAAACATCGAATATACAACACTATTATAAAGAGCATAGTAATGTATGGAAGTGACGTGTGGCAGTTAAAGGCAACTACTGAAAGAACACTACAAGCCACGGAGATAGACTACTGGAGACGGGCCGCAGGAAGATCAAAACTCGAAAGAATTAATAACGAACGTATACGAGAGGTTATGGGAGTCACACATACGATTGTCGAAGATATAAGAGTACAACAACTAAAGTGGTATGATTGGTCTACCTCTAACTATTGAACATATTATAGATTGGTCACCACATGGAAAGAGAAAAAGAGGCCGACCCAGAAAGAGCTGGAGAGAAGGAATAGACAGAGAGATCCGAGAGAGAGGTTTAGACGAAGATCTTTGGGAAGATAGAGATGCATGAAAATTGGGCATCGGAAGACGTCGGAGGACGTTTTAAACCGATTATATATATATATATATATATATATATATATATATATATATATATATATATATTATATATATATATATATATATATATATATATATATATATATATAATATATATATATATATATATCGCTATACTATATATATTAGCTTCATGATATCACTAAGAAAATATTGAGTCAACTCACTACAGGACGTTGGTGAACTAAACCCGCACCCGGGCTAGTTGACTTATTTTGCAAGGCATTCAAAATTTGCTTAAAACTATTTTTTACGGAGAACTTAAATTAATTGAAAATGTATGTACATTACCTAAAGGAGTTCACCAGCTGACATACTTGAATTTAACAGTATGCAAAATAAAATCTGCAAAAATTAATTATTTTAAAAATAAGTCAACAATGCCCACTCTCCCCTAGTTTTATTTAATCGGTTTTATTAAGGAAGTTAGAAGTTACATAAAAAAATATATTTATAATTTACATACGTTTTTTAAAGATTTTTAAGTTTTTTATCATCTCTTGAATTTCTTCGATACTCTTTCCTTTTGTTTCCGGCAATATCGTATAAAATAAAACTGTTCCTATAAGAGACATAGTTGCAAACATTTCCATACACCAGTGTATACCGATTGCTTCAGCTAATGTAAGAAATACAGCTAAATATACCGCAATCAGAATACCCACGCTGGTCAGAACTATCATAGAAGCAGCAGATCTTAAATTAGACGGAAATAGTTCACTTATCATTGAGTACGGTACAGGACCAAGTCCGAAACCATACAAAATAAAGTAAAGAAGGATACATGTAAGTGGCACCCATTGAAATTGGAGAACAAAAGAGGAATTAATATGATTTAAGTAAAAAAAGATACCTAGGATTGACATACATATTCCAGTTCCTAAGGAAGATATGATTAATAATGGTTTTCTGCCAAGTTTTTCAACTACCATAGATGCAGTAATGAAAGTTATAATTTTAACCAAACCTACATACATAGCGATTGTGTTTCCAGAGAGGTTTGAACCTGACTTATTAAAAATCGGAGCCATTAGCGGCATTAATACTGGAACACCGCAGAGATTTTGTATAAAAATTGGCAACAGGCTAAGGAGTAAACCAATTCGGCCTTCTCTTGTAGTTAGTAGTTTACTAACACCTAATCCCTCTGTTATTTGAATATTTGTTAAATTAATACACATATTGTCGAAATCAATCTTGATTTCTTCATTAGTTTTATTGCTTCTTAGTTTTTTAAGAGCAATAAGGCAGTCAGTTTTTTTATTTTTTGTTAGAAGAAATATAGGGCTTTCTGGTAAAAGTAAAGATAGAGCGAGATGTAAAAATAAGGGTATTGTCATAACCATCGTGTAAATTTTATAACTGAACAACGGACCTATGATATAACAAAACAACTCCCCAACTGGAATAAAAGCTGCCATAAAACAAGAAAACTTAGCCCTGTTATGATCTTCACATATTTCTGTTATGTAAATGGGGCAGATGGCCCAGATTCCACAAAAAGCTACAACCGTAATGGCAGCACAAAACACTATAAACCCGACATACGTAGAAAATGCTACCACAGAAGTACTTAGAATCATAACACAGCTTAAAATTTGCAAGCTTCGTTTTCTTCCACAAATATCTGCTAATTTCGGCAGTAGAAGGGTCCCGATTATACCTCCGATAGCTTGTGATACAAGTAGCGCTGATACTTCAATTGGCTTTATCGGTCTTCCTATTGGATTTACTTCGGTATCATTTAGTTGTAATTTTGTGATTGCTGGTGAAGTCCATACAATTGACATTCCTCCTACAAACCATGGCAAACTTCCTGAAGTAAATAAACACAGATAAATAAATTAAATAATTAAATAAATAAATAAATACACTTGCGTGCATAGAAATCGGCCCACTGTAAACTTTTGACTTTAACTATGTTTTTTTCAAGAAATATTCATCAGATCACAAAAACAAATATACTGTTTGAAAGAAAATTTAATATGCTTTAATGTGAGTATAAATTTATCAAGAAGGCTTATCCTTTACATGCGTAGTAACCGGTAAACAAATGAAACGTGTTTATGTGGTGATTGTCACGAAAATAACAAATTTGTCTAATTGTAAAATATTGCCTTTGCAAGTGAAATTTGCATATTATTCGTTTTTCATAATCTCAGCAGTGTTCAAGTGTGTTAGTTTTATGCATACTACTCCACAAAAGCCGCCCAAGTTATATTGCTCTAATCGAAAATGGACTTGTCAGGGAGCTCTTGCTAGACAATTGGATATGACACGCGCAGCGGTTCGAAGAGTATGCCAACGTTATGAGGAGACTGGATCCTTTCATAGGCGACCTGGAACAGGCAGAACATTACGAAATCGTCACGTTAATGCCGTTCAGGTGCAACGACAGCTCTGTGAGGTGCGAAGGGTGGCTGTTAGTCAGTGGACAGTGAGACGAAGACTGCGGGAAAATAACCTGATCCCTAAAATACCTGCGATTGGTTCAAAACTTACTCCAGCTCATCAGCAAGCACGCCTGCGTTTTGCACAGGATCACCGGAATTGGACGTTGAAACAATCGGGATCTGTTCTGTTCTCAGATGAGACCAAAATATGCCTCTATGGTAGCGACCGAAGAAGGAAAGTGTACCGGAGACCAGAAGAGATATTGTCAGAATGCTGCTCTGAAGAGCGGAGTGCTTATGGGGGTGGTTCCTGCATGATCTGGGGTGCAATTTCTATATTAGCACGAACCGGTCTTGAGTTCATTCGTAGGAACGACCGTGTTCACGAAAGAAGAGGTTTAACGGCTACCAGATATATTTAGGAGATTTTAGCATGTGGTACCTTTCGTCGACTACATTGGAGACGAATTTATCTTTATGCATGACAATGCAAGGGCACACACCGCAAGAATCGTGCAAGATTACATTGCAGAAGTCGATTTTCAGGTTATAGACTGGCCAGCAAACAGTCCTGACCTAAATCCGATCGAACATTTATGGGATGATCAAAAACGAAGAATTCGAGATAGACTTCACACCCCAGACTCGATCCCAGAGCTTATTCTTGCAGCAGAAGAAGAGTAGCTTAACATCCCACAAGAAACAATAGCAAACTTGATTAGATCTCTGCCTAATCGTATGAGAGATGTTATTAGAGCAAGAGGAGGTCATACCCATTATTAAAAAATTAAGTGTTAAGTTTTTAATTGTCAATAACCCTATTTATGTTAATAATAAAAAAGCTTAATTTGCTTAATGAATTCATTTCACTATGTTAAACATAGGAAGCCGAAATAAGTTTTCATAAATTTATACTCACATTAAAGGATATTAAATTGTCTTTCAAACAGTATATTTGTTTTTGTGATATGATGAATATTTCTTGAAAAAAATATAGTTAAAGTCGAAAGTTTACAGTGAGCCGATTTCTATGCACGTAAGTTTATATAATTATATTAGTATGAATCTCGAATTTTAAAGAAATTGGAAGATGTAGGCATCTGTCTCTTTAGATTAAGAATATGTAATTATTATAGGTATAGTACGTCATCAAACAATGAAAAGTTTAAAAGTGTATAAAAAGTTATGCAAACAAACGAGACAATGAAAGGTCATTTGTGTTTCCCCAATATTTGGTTACCAATGATTATTTCTATATTTCGTTATTTAACTTAGATTTGGAAAGTAAGGATTTGTATAATATAAAAATGAACTTCGGTTTTTCCAGGTAATATAACATGTGTAAAAATGAAAGCTATCTATTTTATTCAAAAAATAATGAACGGTCGTTATAGTTTTTTTGGCAAAGGAATTTGATAGTGGATTCTAATAAAATACAGCATGGTGAGTCAAGGAAACTTTGACGAGAGAACGAGAGCACATGGTAAGATATTTTTGTTTTGAGTGATTTGATTGGTTAGAGAGAGAGATTGAAGAAATTAGAGGTAAGGCACTAAGGTAAGAGTTTGTTTTTTTTTGGCAAAGGAAAAACGAGAAATCTAAAATAGAACTGCAAGAGAAAAGGTTGTTTCCTGTGATGACAAAAAGTTGTGGACGTAGCGAGATAAAGTGGTAAATCGTGAAAGAAAGTTTGTTAAGTTGATTGTGGCCGCAGAAAGCCGTGACAGTGTATGATGAGATCTTTAAATCCACAATTTGTATGTCTTTCTTTTAATATAAGAATTATTTGAGGCATATGTTTTGGTACGAGAGTAAACGAGATCAGGAGGTGTAGGGAAACAGCATAAGGAGAATCAACATAAAGTTTAGTTTGTTTTATTGAAAACAAAAGATAGATCCAGAGATTCCGAGCGAAGTTTTGTTTTTGGGTATAGAATTGAATAGAGACAGTTTTTTATACAAATTTATAGGACCAGAGAGAATATTAGAATCATATGATCGGTTGTTATTTATACTGATAATTATATGATATAATCTTGTTTTTTTGTAAATCTTTTTTTTATACAACTCGTATATTTGAATTTCCATGATATAAAATATTGATAAGAGATACAAGGTATTGTCTATGTATATTTTTATTAATTTTTTTCCTCATACTTGCATGATAATGAACCACGAAAGTAAGTTCTGAGATAAAGAAAGTTAGGAGTAAGTTCATCAATTTAGATATTGTATTTTAAAATTAAATTTTCCTTACCATAACAATATATATATCTGAATATCAATGACGGCTGAGACTTTAACTCTGATCACTTACCGATAATTTTAACTATCAGTGATACATTGATTAAAAAAGAGTTCAATCCAATATTGACTAATAAAAAACTGACCGGGAGAGCTTCAAAATAAACCTTGAACACAAAGTTAGTCTTGCTGTGCCATTGAGAAACACGAAACAACTTGATGACGAATTAGAAGTTTTTATAAAAAAATATCCAAAATATCAACAGGCAGCTTAGGAAAATATTTCCACAATAACTTCTAGAACAAAAGGGAACTATCCAAAAGAAATTAGAAAACTCATAGAAAAAAAGGAAGTTAAGAAAAAAATGGCAGCAATACAGAACTCCACGAGACAAAACTAGTCTAAGTAATGGTAGACAAAAACTAAAAAGGGAGATACAGAATATAAAAAATTCAATAATTAATTCTTTTTTAAGTAATTCAACAGCTGACCAGAACACAGATTATTCGTTATGGATGGCAACAAAAATAATAAAGAGACCAATTATTTATTCTTCTTCTATCAAGTTGGAAAATGGCAACTGGGCTAGAAGTAACGAACAGAAAGCAGAACGATTTGCACATCATTTAGAAAGCACGTTCAAACCAAACGACAATGATGGTGAAGAACTGAGATGGGAAGAACCATTCCAAACTGAAGAAAAAATAACATTGACATCATTTAGAGAAGTATCAACAGAAATAAAAGAGAATATAAATCCTAAGAAAACTCCAGGATATGATCTCATCACAGGAGAACTATTAAAAAATCTACCAAGAAAAGCCACAGTTAAGTTGACACACCTAGTAAATCCTGTTTTTGGATTGAGATATATTCCCAGACTCTGGAAAGTAGCCGAAGTGATTATGATGGCCAAACCAGGTAAATCTCCTAATGAAGTGACATTCTATCGACCAATATCACTCCTTTCGGTGATGTCAAAACTGTTTGAAAAACTCCTATTGAAAACATTAAAACCAATAATAGAAAGAAAAACTCATCAATTTGGTTTCAGAAATCAACATTCCATTATAGATCAAGTTCAAAGAATAACGACTATAATAGAAAAAAACATTAGAAGAAAATAAAGTCTGCTCTACAATCTTCTTGGACGTAGTACAGGCATTTGATAAAGTCTGGCATGAGAATTTAAACTATAAACTAAGAACGCTCATACCTAAACAGTATTCAGAAATCTTGAAATCATACATTGCGAATAGATATTTCAGAGTAAAATAAGAAGAAGTGTACACCTACTTAAGGAAGATCAAAGCTGGCGTGCCACAAGGGAGTGTCTTAGGTCCGGTCATGTACCTATTGTATACGTGTGACATTTCAGAGCTAGAACAAAATAATATTGCCACCTACAGCCATACTAGCGATAGGACACACTAGTGATAAAGTGACTGATAAGTTGCAACGATCAGTAAATAAAATACGTAACTCGACCAGAAAATGGCGAATAAAATTAAATGAGACTAAATCTGCACACATTAACAAATAAAAAAATAGAAAATTTCCTAGTTAGAATAAATGATACCCGAATTCCTTATGCAACATCAGCAAAATTTGGGCATCACACTAGACGCGAAGCTGCGCTGGAAAGTCCAGGTCAAAAAGAAAAGGGGGGAGCTTGATATTAGATATAAGAAATTGTATTGGATGATTGGAAAAAAATCAACATTATCAATTCATAATAAGTTATCCATCTACAAGCAAGTACTGAGGCCAGTATGGGTATATGGGTACCCACTCTGGGGCTGTACCAAAGCTAGTAATCTACATATTATCCAGAGATTTCAAAAACAAAGTATTGAGAAACATTGTTGATGCTCCTTGGTATATCCGTAACAGAAACCTCCACCAGGACCTGGGTATGAAAACTTTGATCGAAATTATGTCATGTGAATGTCGAGGCAATCCAACTTCATGACAACACTAAACTAAAGAGGAGACTCATAAGAACAAAACCATTTGAGTTAGTGTAAATGTGTAACAGTTTAGTGTAACAAGCAGAGCATAGTGCTGTGAAGTTATTGCATATTAGTTGTAGTGCATTAGTTAATAGATAAAATAAGAGTAAGCCATAGGGTAAGCACTTAGATTTAAGTATTTGCTGTTAATTAAGTTAGGTCAGAAAATAACTGATAATTGGTTATTTGTGACCAGATAGCAGTATACAAACACCGCACAGGGGTTAAACAAAAATAACAATATAAATACAGATATTTATATTCATAGAATATATACATGATAAATTTATATTATTGTTTATTTACTTTTCTTATTATTTTATATTTATAATATATTTACTTACCAGTTAATACGGTAAAGTACAGAAAAAATGTATCCGATTTTCTTGAAAATTTAACATCATTATGATCAGAACATTTGGTAATATCTTCTAAAATACACTTTTCACAGTTATCAGACTTAGATATTGGGTTGTCTGTCATAGCGTAAAATCTGAACACCACTATTCGAAAGCATATTATTCTTCCAATAAATTCAGTGTCGCAAGATATTAATAAATTGATATCAAATATCTTAGTTTAGTGAACTTGAAACTAATTAAAACAAGTGAAATTTTCTACATATCAGCATTCTTTAAGATTATAGACGGTGTTTTTTTAGAGGCATAAAACTTCGAAATTGAATTAAACAAAAATGAATTTTTTAAATTAATGTAAAATTTATTTTATTGGAAAGATATTTCTTAATATTTTGGCATTATATTTTAACACTTTGACCGCCGTATCGTATATATCCAAATGTATACACACGTGCATAGAGAAATAACAATAAGAGAGTGATCAATAGATAGGGAAAATTGTTCACATTTGTTTCTGCGCAGGTAAGTAGCACATCGGGGCGCTGTGGTTTATGAAACTAAAATTTACCATGGTACAATAAAGTATTTTGATTGTACTATGAAAATTTACATTGTTGACATTGACTTTGTAGCATAGAGTTTTAGGTTATACATAATTATATTGTATGTTTATTTGAATATACAAAATTCTTTCTTTACTAAAGGTTCTTCTGTGTTTAGTTATAATTTATGGTATTTGTAATCGTCCGTATTGGACGTATTGTATGTAGGTAATATTATTAGTTTATCATTTTGCAATCTCAAATATGTCCAAACCCGGTAAATATGGTCATGGGTGTTTAGCGTCCTTTTGTAATAACAAATATTTTTATTCTGTCATAGACCCAGATTATAAAAATAAAAAGTTTTTTAGATTTCCAGAAACAGATTTAAAAAGACGTCATAACTGGTTTGAAATTATTGGTATTGAATTTACTGAAACTAGGCGTTATTTATGTGAAGATCATTTTGAGGAAACACAATTTACAAGCAGTTTAAAAACAAAACTGTTGAATAATGCAGTGCCTTTCAATGCCAATGTTCATAATCAAATTTTGCCTATACCTGCACATTCTTCTGAAGAAATTTCTGTTTCAAATGTACATATTCTTAGTAATGTTCAAATAGTTTCTCCAAAATTATCCTCCATTAATTTCCCAGTCAATAATAAACAGTCAATTTCCAGTCAGTATGATAATGAGTATGATACACCACCATCTAAACGTAAGCGATTGCATATTTTAAAAGAAATTAATGAAAATAGAGTAAAGGATCTTTCTCCTAAAAAGAAAAAGTTATATTTTTTAAATCGAACTCATAGAAATTCTATTTGTAAATTAAAAAACTCTATAAAAGTTACTAAACAGAAATTAAAATTTGCATATGAGTTTTCTAAAGGTGAAATGTTTAGGGAATTAGAAGATAATATGGACCCTTCAATTGCATCATTTTTTAAAAGTGCTTTTTCAAATTGTAAAGTTAAAAGGCCTACTTGGACAATACGTGATAAGGTATATGCTTTGGCTTTGTACAAAAAGGGTCCTAGATGTTACAGATTTTTGAAACGTAGTATACCATTACCAGCTAAAAGTACCCTTCAGAAACTCTTAACGAATGTTCCTTTTGCAGCTGGAATAGATATCCAGTTATTAAAGAAACTTTCTAAAAGAGTAAAAACCATGAGACCATTAGATAGGTATTGTTCCTTAGTTTTTGATGAAATATCATTGGCTCAGCAGTTAGTTTTGGATGAGTTTAATGATAAAGTAATCGGTTATGTAGATCTTGGTCCCTTGGGTCGTAAAAATGAGTATGCTAATTATGCATTAATTTTTATGCTTAATGGTCTGCACAAAAGTTGGAAACAACCAATAGCATTTTTTTTTACACAACATACTGTAAAGTCATATGATTTGAAGTATTTAATTTCACAGGTAATTACTAAGGTAGAAGTTGAAACTGGTTTAAAAATACTCTGTACTATATGTGACCAAGGTGCTACAAACCGTGCCGCTATTAAATTACTTTGTAGGAAAGATGATGAACCAGGGCCTCACTTTTTCATCAATAAAACATAAAATATTGACAATTTTTGACCCACCACATTTATTAAAGTCAACTCGTAATGCTCTTTTAAAGTACCATATTCAGTTTGATCAGACAAAAATGGCAAAAATTGATCATATAAGACAATGTTTTAATATAGACAAAAGAAAACGGTTTCAAGCATTAAGGCGGATAAGGGAGGTTTATTTACATCTTAATAATCACAGTCGGTTAAAGATGAAAGTGTGTGTGGCCGCACGGACCCTCAGTCATACGGTTGCGTCTACTTTAGAAGAGATGGTTAGTAACCCAAATAATAATATACCTTCTCAAGCTATCGATACTGCTGAATTTGTGCATGATATAAATCAACTTTTTGATAGTTTTAATGGCAGAACAATAAAGCCTGAATGTGGAAAGCCTTATCGTGGGTGTATGTCTAATAAATCTCCTCATTTCGCTTTGTGGAATCGTCTTCTTCCAAAAATTAATAGCTGGATGTTTATTGATGAGAAAGTGAAAAAGAAGGTAATGCCTTTTAAGTCAGGGTGGTTAACTACTATTGTAGCAATAAAAGAGTTGTGGAATATTTTTAGAGATCTGGGATTTAAGTTTTTAAGAACCCGTTCTTTAAATCAAGATCCTTTAGAAAACTCATTTGCTTCTATCCGTCATCTAGGAGCAGAAAATATAAATCCAAATTGCTACCAGTTTATATCATCATTTAAAACATCTGTTCTTAATAACTTAATTACTCCTAATTCAAATAAAAATTGTGAAACAGATGACGGCTCTATTCTGGATAATTTGCAAGACTTTTTGGATAGTTCAATCACCAACAATGATTTTATTGATTTAGATCTTTTAGAGGTAAATGAAATAGAACATCTAGCTCTACCATTACCTGATACAGATGTTACAGGTCATGGTGGCAACACATTAGCATATGTTGCTGGGTATATAACAAGAAAAATTAAAATAATTCAAGAATGTGAGCTGTGTGCAGCTAATTTAATATCTGATGTTTTAGAACCACATCATACATTTACAATGTTTAAAGAATATAGTGATAAGAAATCAAGTTTAGCTTATGTAACAAAAAATTTTATAGTAGATTTAGCCAAAATTCATGATATTGTAATTTCTGTATTAGTCAATAATGGACATATAAACCATTTGTCCAAAAAAATTAAAATTTTGATAAAAAAGTATGTAACTCTGGAGTGGTTTACTTGTAACCAACATTTGGATTATGTGTTTAATTAGTTTCTAGATGTGTCTGTATACTTAATAATTAGGCAATATTATGATGATGTTTATAGAACTTATCGAGATTTGCAGAAAAATGATTTACAAAAAAAGAAAATTAATAAGATGAAGCATTTATAATTTTATTTAGCCTATTTTTCTAAACTCTTCTCCATATCTTTATTTAAATAAACTATTTTTTTAAGTTCACAACATTGATTTTCTTATAATATGCTTTGGTACTTCAGTCAAATAGTTAATGGTAAATTTTATATGTTATATCCATTTGTTTATCACCTAAAAGTATTTTACTTTATTGTAAGAGTTGTTATTTTAAGAGTATTTATTTTAGCTTTAGTAAAGTTCTCTGTATATTGTGTAATATTTTTCTTTGAATATTTTAGGCTACCTACTAATCAAATTTGTAATATCTGCATTTTGTAAAATATAAGATAAATAAAGAAGAGCGGGGACATGCATGCATTTTATGTTGATCTGTGTTTTATATCTCAAAACTTTAAATTTCAAAACAATTGTTCTGTATATGTTTTTCTATTTTGTTTTATCAGCACTCCATACATGCATGCGGAAAGTGGGGGGTCCCTGTAAGGATTAATAAAAATAAAACATGTATAGTTTTTTTTTTTCAGTGTTCATGTCCCCTATTTTTCTAAAAATTTATGAGGAAAATATCGATGGCTCTTATTTTACAGATAATTTTACAGGAGAGACTTTAAACTGAACTTTTGCATAGGTACTCTAACCTAAAAACAACAAATAAAATTTTTCACATATATTTTAGGTTAGAGTATGAGGAAATTCAGTTTAAAGTCTTTCCTGTAAAATTATCTGTAAACTGAGATTCTTTACTGAAATATAATAATTTTAAATATCCCGCGTTCCATTTTCTGGCCGTTTAGTTGAGTAAGTAGTTCATCAGGTCGCTAGCATCGAGTGTGCCAGTTTTATGTATACAACCAAGCACTCTCTTATTTGTTATTTCTCTATGCACACGTGTCAAAATCGCTGCGTGTATACCATTTTTCAAAGTAAAACACTTGCACGTCACGATTTATACAAAGTGACGTCACTTGTATCTAAAATTTCCAGAACATCAACCTTATAGTTCAAATTTTCCTAACACAGCTAATAATACGAAACTGCACGATCTTTCATAGGCGTCAACATGGTGTAATAATCAGAAAAATATAATCGTCATTATATAGAAAATTTTAGAATTATATTGATCAAATAACCAAAAACATTTATTAATATTAATAATATAAATTTTATGAATTAACTCTTGAAGTCTAATCTTCCACAAAATAATAATTTTAGTTAAATATATTAGACAATTGTACGCAACTGATACGGAGGCAAAAGTGTATAAAGTGTTGCCTGTTTTTTAGAGTAGAAATTTTTTTATGGGTTGATTTCTTACACAAGTTGATCATAATATTATCATTAAGCTTTAAAAACTAATTATTGTTGTGTATTGTGATTGTGATATGCCAAAACAAATAAAAGTATGTAGAAAGCTGATAAGCTTTTATATAAGATATATTCTTTTGAACAAGACATAATGGCGGGACGTCTTTGTTATTAAAGCCCTAAAAGAGGTAAGTTTAAAATTTAGAATATATAATTTTGTAATAAAATGTTTTCCTATGTATTTTAATGTGTTGCAGTAGTCTTAAAACTAAGTGTATTTACTGTTAATATAATAGTTTGACAAATAGTTGACAGTTTAAAAATTCGTCACTTACTAACTATTCTGATGTTTTGGCAACGCTGTGGAGTCCTGACGACGTA